AGGGCATATTTAAAGTCCCTTACTTAGGATAGCATTTTCCTTAACTTTGGCATTTTCGGGATGATGCCCCTCAGTGTCATGTATTTTCTACATTACCAACTTCACTGAGACCCTTCTTCTTTTATACGTTTGATACATGAGACCTTATTACTAATAAAGTAATGTAAAAACAGTGATGGTTTTAATTCCAATCAATCAGATTTCATGTGGGTATAGTTTAAAGGTAAACGGTAAATTCTGATTTATGTTGCAAGCCTTTGCACAGTTTGTTCATCATTGCTCGCTAGTAAATGTTTTAAATTACGTGCTTCCATGCAAAACTAAAATATCAATTTCGAGTGTACTTCCTTGATAATTAAATGACAGGTCCTCTTTGTAGGCTAAGGAAAATCAGTCAGTTTTGGAATGTTTATAGAACACATGGGCACAACATGAGTTGCAAACTATAGAACATTTGCAGTAGATAACTAGGGTTCCATCGCAGCCTAACTACTGGCCAGGTATTCTCCGTTTTCTCCCTATTGTCAGGGCAGAAATTGCAAACCCTGTTCACTGCAATGTTTTTTCTTTGGCATATAAACCTGCATTACAATGAACATCAAACAAAAAAGTAAAAAAAAAGCAAAAAAGAAAAAAAAAGCACCCATGTTATTTCCTAATGTATTCCTTTTAGTCTAACCTCTGCATATGCTCTTATTGAGGAAATACAAGATGATTTTAGAATAAATTAGCAGTTTGGCTGGGCTAATATCACTGAATGGCAGGTGACATGGATGGAAACAGTGATATTGCTAATTCTCTTTTACGGAAATGAAAAAGAAATAATAGTTTGTATTTTGAAGACACCATAGGAGCTATTTATGAGTTCTTTCACGCACCAAGGTAATACAATACTGAAGCCTAGATTATGAGGCAGATTTCCTATCAAATTGCAGCTTAATTCATAAATTCCAACCTTTTCTGCTTTAAAACTGATCTCTGAACTCCCCTCCCCCCATGCCCCTCAATCCCCTCTAACTAATCACTGGCATTACACAAAAATGACCTAAATGTCCATTTTACTCACCTAAATCATGTGATACTCCAGTCTTGAGTCTTCTCTCTTATTCTGTTTGTGGGGTCCTTTGTTCACAGTGATGTGGACAATCTATATTGGTTGTCTAGTGGTAGGGGCCTCTCAGGATCCAGAAGAAAAATCTCAGTGGTGACATCAGTGTGAGATGACCGAAAGGGACTGGCCAGCATGGGCACATTTGCAGAACTTGATTAGCAGTTTCCCACACCTGGGAATGGTGCGGGTGAGAAACCTGAACAGCAGACAAAGGTGAATATGTCTTTACTCACAATGTAAAAGAAAAAATGCAGAATGGAATTGTGAAGGAGGGGTGCAAAAGGGGTATTTTTTGCCCAGAGAAGAGCTTTCAAGCAATTTAAAGCAGCACTATAAGAAAAGATAAACCTTCCCCTGGCAGGTTAATTGTGCATGTGTTGTGAGTGAAAATTCAACTTATCTACAGTGCTAACTTTGTATCAGGCCTTAGTGACCCCTTGACACCATTGGGTTCCAGTAACAGGTAACAGGTGTATTTATTTGTTATTCATTTTGAATGCCACCCCCAAGTCACTGCTACAGTATTGGACATTGCACGCACAATGCAGTTGTTAAAAAAAAGTTGCATGGATATTAATATGCACTGGCAGACCACTCAAAATGAATCAGCTGCGTTACTGCAGTGCCCTTTAATGCAGAGTAACACACTGTGTTAATGCAGTGCATAGTGTGAAGGGGGCATTACAAAGATTTTTAGTTGGCTGCCCAAGATTTCAGGAGTCTCGAAAATTAAAAGGAAAAAACTCTTTTAAATATACATGGTTAAATGAAAGGTAGCTACCATTTCATATGATTACTCAAAGATTACAATGTGTCTGGTATAAAATGCAGTAACTTATTGAAACCAATCATAATCACTTTGGTAGAGTTAGACAAGTATAAGAAAAGTTGTGATTTGTTGCTATGGGTAATACTCGTTTGATTGGTCCAGCTAAGCCACCTATAATGCTGGATGTACTGAAACTGATTTATAAAGGCAAATAGACTGTTTCCCTTATCCCGGTGGATGTGGCAAAAATTCACTTTACAAAAAATACTTAATATAAAGCGACGGAAAAAAGCTAAAATATATATATATATATATATATAATGTGTATATATATATATATATACAGTATATATATATATATATATATATATATATATATATATATATATATATATATATATATAATGTGTGTGTGTATATATATATATATATATATAATATATATACACACAGTATATCAGTGTATATATGTATATATGTTATCTTGCATTTTTTTTTACAGAATATAAGGTGTTCTGTGATTGGATTAGGGGAGATTATGGCATTTATCTGCCCTTCTCTTCCTTCTCTCCCCTTGACCAGTCAAAGAACTTTGTATTCTACAAATAGAATAAAGACATTTTATGAACAGATTAGGAGGGAGTGAGGAAGGAAGGGGAAAGTAAACAATACTATCCTTCACTGTACAACTTCTGGAACTCAAAGCAGCAGAGTAAGAAGATCAAAGCTGAGAGTAGCATTGAGTAGTAGTGAAGCAATACACCTACGATTTTTAAAACCCCCAGCAGCCATCCATATGTCGCATAATGAGCATTAACCCTGGGTTCACACTGATGCTGTGCAGAAATCCACACCACATCATAATCATACCCTATTCATGCGAACCGCTGCGGGTGTGTATGTTAAGTTAACAACACCCCGAAATCGGTTTGAAAAACGTGGTGCAATGTGCAGAATCGGATCGCATGGGTATGAATACCCATGCGATCCAGTTCTAGTGTGGACAAAAAAAAGGGTCCTGCACCTTTTTGGTGTGGATGCAGTATGATTTGAGCTATACAAAATGCATAGCTCAAATTGCACCGCATAGAATTTGCATTGAATCACTTGCCATATGCAGCACCACAGAAGTGTGAACCCAGGCTAAAGGTAACTTATCTCGACCAATAAAAAGTAAAAAAAAAAAAATGTTTTTCTCCTGGAGTTATATGCAAATATTTTGCTTCTTTCACTTTCTTATTGAAAAAACCTTTGAAAAAGCTGTTTTAATTATAGTCATATAATCTGTCAGCTGCTAACAATAAAAGCAGTTCAGTACAGGAGAAACCATTGTAGTCAATGAAAATGAAACTATTACCTCCAACTATTACCGCTGCTTCAGCTAACAAATAGAATTTCAGGGATACATAAGTGAATATTATATATATTTCCGTGAAATGATCATTTGCTTTGGCATTCTCTTTCAATAGCATATGTGGAATATATATGAAGTTGAGTGTAGGACTGCAATGGGAGTATATCAGTTGGCATTTTCTTTATGTACAAAAATTGTACATCACTTTTACATTTAAAAATTGAAAGAATATATTTTGGATTGAATTTTAAATGTTAGACTCTGAAAATGTGGCTTTCTTGGGGTGGAAATAGAGCTACCAGATGCACAATTTTTCTGTGGAGACCGATAAGTCAACTTAAGTTCAAGTGAAGGTCAACAACATAGCTGCATTTATCATACATTTATTGGATAAACTTTGATATAAAATAATTTCTCATCTAACGTCATTTGTTTTTCTATTCACCATACTGTGAGAGTCCAAGTGCCAGAAAAATTATTGTAAGCACAAAGCTGGTGGTAAGGTTCTGAAAACAATGATGATATTTAATACTGCTACAGGGTGGCATGGGTGCGCAAAATCACATATATACGTGATTTTGCATCTCCAGGTAGGAGCTGCGTGTGCACCCTACTCGTGCCGCTATTCGCTGCCTTGACTGTCAATCACCGGGTTCAGGCCGGTGATTACTCACCGGCACCCAATGATTGAGGGGGATTACCGATGGAGGGAGAGAGCTGTAAGTAAACAATAAAGATCTCTCCCCTTATCAGCACCTGCACACTGCTATGCATTGCTTTGCATAGCAGAGCCATGCATAGCAGTGTGCTTACAGTGAAGCACACACACAGCACACAGTAAAACAGCACACAGTTAACACTTTGATCGCCCCTCATGTTAACCCCTTCCTGCCCAGTGCCATTAGTACAGTGTCAGTGCTTTTTATTAGCACTGATTACTACTGTATTGGTGTCACTGGGGATGTCAGCAACACCAAGTCAGATCCCCCCAGTGTCAGAATGTCTGCCGCAGTCCCACTATAAGTCTCTAATCGCCGCCATTACTAGTAAAAAAAACTGTACAACCAAATCAATCCATCAAAAAGTGTCAGACACTCAAAAGGGATCTTCAATATCTCCGGATCATACAACTGCACCTCTAGTGCAGAAAATGCAGCAAAGGATCTTATGTTGGCAAAACAGGACAGAAGTTGCAAACAAGGATGAATTTGCACAGACATACCATCAAGGAACATAAAGAAGATGACTTCTGCACACCTGTGGGACACCATTTCGCACAACCGTACCACACTATGGAAGACCTCAATATTTTAGTTCTTAAAGGGAATTTCAAAACTATTCAGGAAAGGAAAACTTTTAAACTAAGAATGATATTTCTATTTGACACAAGAGATAATGACCTTAACCTCCCTAGCAGTATGATTATGTCTATATTTCTGTGTGGAAAGTGGTACATTTTTTTGCATGGAAATATGTATTTTTTTTATTGTAGGCCTATAATTTTTAGGAATAACTCACTGAAATCTGTCCGAACAAGTCTAGTAAACATTCTGGGTATGATAAAACTTGAAACACGAAATCATAAATTATAATTTAATAAATAATCATAAAAATAATAATATAATAATAATAAATTTAATTCAATAATATAATCGAACCAAAAACACTAAAATTTGAAATATAGCGCCAAGTTTGCACATCGCTGAGCAAAGTCGCAAAATCGTTTTCAGTGTCTGAAGAAGAATTTCCCCACAAATCATTATCACTCAATTCTGCTAGTAGTTCTAATTTACTAACGCTGTTCTCTAGCTGGTCTAAAACCGCTTTTGACCAAAAGGGACGCTTTTTGGACACCATGGACTTTTCTCAGTTTCCAGGCAGAAAGAACAGTCAAAATGCAGGCAGGGCACAGGACAAAGCACTAGGGACAAAATGTATGTGAAATGGTTTGATATAGTAATGTTTTACTATGTCAAATTCATTTCTAAGAAAATGACAGTTTCTAAAAATGTTTAAATTTGCCGCCGTTCCGGCCCCCTGTACGTCTCGTGCGTCCCGGCGCTCGCAGGGACTGGAACACGGAAGCCGGATGCCAGCATCGGCCGGAGGAGATGTCCGGGGACGCGGCAGGGGACGCATCGCGGGAGCGAAGGACGAGGTAAGCACTGCAGGGAATCCCTGAGCAACGCTGCATGGTAAGCCCGAGTGTAGCTCGGGGTTACTGCTTTTGGTACTGAAACTCTACCCCGAGCTGCACTCGGGAATACCGCTAAGGAGGTTAATTTGGACATGGGATTCCTCACTCAATATCCAACAGTTTTATGATCCCCCTCTGTGTGTGTTGCCCCCCCCCCCCAGTCTTTGCTTTTGCTGTGTCTTATCTCTAGTCTTTTTTTTTCCCCCTTTCAACATCTCTTTTTAACATTCTGCTAAAACTTTGTGAAGTAGTACTGCTTGGACCTTAAAGAAGGGGACATACCTCGAAAGCTTGTCCTCAAAATTGTATGTTAGTGCAAATAAAAAAGTATCACATCAGTACTCAATTGTTTCTGTCGCAAGTGCACTAATACGACTACAATCACCTCTAGTAAAAAAAGAAATCCCAATATATATACTGCCATTTGTAAATGCTATAACTTTCACGAAAGCCAATTAATTTACACGTATTTGGATTTTTTTTTAGCAAAGACATGTAGCAGAACACATTTTATCCTCAATGTATGATGAAATTAAATTTTTTACATTTGCATTTTTCTCAAAACTGTCAGTATTTTTTTTATAGCACAAAAAATAAAAACCGCACAGGCGATCAAATACCACTGAAAGAAAGCTCAATTCGTGAGAAAAAAAGGATGTAAATGTCATTTGGGTGCAGCATTGCATGGCCGCGCAACTGTCAGTTAAAGTAACGCAGCGCCATAATAACGCAAAAAATTGCCTGGTCAGGAAGGGGGGTAAATCTTCTGGAGGGCAAGTGATTAAAAACCAGTAAACCTTTATGTGATGCATCATGTAAGAGAGAGATTTCCTAAAATCTGCATCACTGAAAATGTGTCTAACTGCCCCCTTGACTAAAATTAGTAAGCATCTAAACCATCAGTCAATCCTCGATCAGTTAGACGAACAATAATGAAAATGGGGAGCTTTTGCCTACAAAATGTTTTACTTATGATGTGTGACAAAATGAAGGTTCATAATAGTAAATAAAAGGATGAGAGCACCACAAATTTGTACTAGGTCCAGTAAAAATGTAGGTCACAGGATATGTCCAACGTGTTTCAGGGGCTCACAGCTCTCCCTTTATCAGGGCTTAAATGCTGGTAATTAATGGGGTATACCAGAAAGCAATTGTAGCAAGGAAATGCAAGGATTTGAATGATTCCAAAATGCCAGTCTGACAGCCTACTCCCCAAGTTGACCGAAAGAATACAATAAATAAATAAATAAATTGACTTCCAAACATGGATAACTACTAACCTTGAATGGTCAGGGAAGTTAATATTTGACTGGAAGCATGGCAGTTCTGCAGCCAACAAAAAGGAAGTTGCAAGCATAAATAAACTGATATTATGTACATTTCATGGAAATGATCATCCGCTCTGGGGTTCTCTTCCACTGGCATAAAACTGAAATCGAAGTATTGCAATTTTCACTTTTTTTATTACTACACATATTTTTACATTTAAACATTGGTCAAATGTTTTTTTAGATCCAATTTTAAATTCTAGACTGTGAACCGTGACTTTCTTGAGATGGAAATGAAGCTGCCAGATGCACAATTTTACTATGGAGACAGAAGAGTCAGCTTCAGTTCAAGCGAAGGTCAGTAACATAAAGCTGCTTGGTGCACAATATCTAAAAATAGTCATACATACATTTATCTGATAAACATTGATATGAAAAACATTTTGTATCCAAAGTCATTTGTTTTTGCTATCCACCTAAATACTGCCAGAGGCCAGGTACAAGGAAATGGATTGTAAACAATAAGATTGAGCTAAGATTCTGAATACAAAGATATTTAACAGCCAGTACAACTAAAATAGGTGTTGTGTGATGTAAAATGGGTGCTAATAATATTCACAAAGAGAGATTTCTTAAAATCTGCTGCACAGACAATTTACCTAATTGTCCTCTTGAATTATTTCTCAATAACCTTCTAAATCAACAGTGCCCTGGATCAATTAGACCAGGGGTCTCCAAACTTTCTAAACAAAGGGCCGGTTTACTGTCCTTCAGACTTTAGGGGGGCCAGACCTAAAAAATTTAAAATTTTTAAAAGGTGCTGACATCAGTGGGAATAAAACAATGCTACATTATTGGTGTCAGTGGGAGAAATTGTACCCCATCATTTGTGTCAGTGGAGAAATTGCACCCCATCTTTGGTGTCAGTGGGAGGAATTGTGCCCCATCGTTTGTGTCAGTGGGAAGAACAGTGCCCCATCACTGATCATTGGTGTCAGTGGGAGAAATTGTGCCCTATCATTGGTGTCATTGGGAAGAATAGTGCTCCATCATTAGTGTCATTGGGATCCCTTGTTGTATATCATGGGAAGGAATTGTGCCCCATCATTGGTGTCAATGGGAGGGATTGTGCCCTATCATTGGCATCATTGGGAAGAATTATGCCCTATCAATGGCGTCTGTGAGAGGAATAGTGCCCAATCATTGGTGTCATTGAGATCCATTGTTGCATATCATTGGAAGGAATTGTTGGTGTCAGTCTGAGAAAGTGTGCCTTATAATTGGTGTCAGTGGGAGGAAGTGTGCCCTATCATTGGCATCATTCAGAGGAATAGTTCCCTATTATTGGTGTCATTGGGATCCATCGTTGTATATCATTGGAAGGAATTGTGCCCCATCAATGGTGTCAGTGGGGGAGAAATTGTGCCACATCACCAATCATTGGTGTCAGTGCGAGAAATTGTGCCCTATCATTGGCATCATTCGGAGGAACAGTGCCCTATCATTGGTGGAATTGGGATCCATTGTTGTATATCATTAGAAGGAATTGTGCCCCATCGATGGTGTCAGTGGGAGTAATTGTGGTCTATCACTGGCGTCCTTGGGAGGAATAGTGCCCTATCATTGGCTTCAATGGGATCCATTGTTGTATGTCATTGGTAGTAACTGTGCCCCTTCATTAATGTCATTTGGGCAATTGTGTCCCATTGCTGGTTGCAGTATATGAAATAGTGCCCCAAGGGCTGTATAAAAGCAAGCAAAGGGCCGCATCTGGCCCCCAGTTTGGAGACCACTGAATTAGACCAACAATGATGAAAAATAAGGAGATTTAGCCTAGAAAATGTTTTACATATGGCAAAGAACAAAACAAAGGATCATAATAGTATATCAAAGGATGAGAGCACCACAGATTTGTACTAGGTCCAGCAGAAGTTTATTAATCTTGACAACAGGTCACAGGATATGTCCAATGCATTTCAAGGGCTCACAGCTCTCCCTTCATTAGGGCTTAAATGCTGATAGTTAACAATATTTAAATCAAAAGATGCAGCGCTGGAAGAGAGACACTATAGGAATAAATCATTAAATAAACAGTTCATGTGGTGATTTCAAAGTGACTTCAGGTGCTTTCATCTAATCATATTCTCCAGGTGGTAAGGTGCTGTGAGATAAAGTGCAGAAGAAATGCACACTCACCAGAACGCACAATTTAATGAGCGTTTATAAATATATGTTTCTCCTGAGGTCATCTGCTGGTCAAGGTGATGTCTGGAATCCAATAGCCTCCCTTCAGTGGTCCAGGATGTTATTAATAGGACATCAAGAAGATCCCTTGGATGGTAGCTTATGGACTGCTCTATAGTAGTTATGAAAGCTCCTTCTCCAGTAGTCAGATGAATGGCTGCGGATTAATACTCCCCAAGGGAGTCAAAACAGAGACATCTCCATAGTGTAGTAGATATGTACTTTATTAGAGCAAAGACGAGGATTTGAAAGGTAAAAAAAAACAGTGAATATACAAGCGATTGCATGGACTAACCGTCCAGTGTTAAAGATGGCCGCCGGAGCTCCACGATGCTCCGGCAGCGTGACGTCACGGCGTTGCTGGCTCCTCCTACGCATTTCGCGTGCACGCACGTCGTCTGGGGGGATTTGCCAATAACGCCGAGCCGTGTGACGCCAATTTATATGCTAGGCGCATGCGCATTAGGAAGGCGCCATATTGTAGAAGTCTGATCCGTGGACGTCCGAACAATCGTGCGGTTGCCATTTTCTGTTGGTTTATTCTGAATACAAAGTATTACAGCTGCGATATGTCTATTTCACTGGCAATAATTATCTTGTATGCAAACGTGGACACCTGCCGTCCTTTGTCAATATATACCATATTTGACACAACAAGATTGCTCAGTGTGTATTCTTTTTATAATAATTGGAGATAGATTATAAAATTGGAAAAAATGTATATTAAAACACTTTGTCAATCAGCCAGTAGAAAATGTCAATTGGTTTCAAATAGAAAATATAGCACTAGCATATAAACAGTCTATACCAATAAAAATATACAGTACATCATAACATGATAAAATTAGATCATAATCACAATACTCATACCAAGGTTAAAAACAAGATAATGCAAATTATTGCTATTAATTCTAAATTGTAACCATAGTTGATATTTATTATCTATAAAAATAGTATTAAAATAGTGATAAAAATATATATTTAAAATATTATCTATACAACTTGATAAAACCCCACATACAATGACATCATGATTCTAAAGAGCCTATCTGGTATCTTTAAATATTTTGAAAGGGATGAGACCATATTCTTTCCTATTCTATTCTATTAAAACCACACATAAAACATATGGCCGAGAGGTATTAACTAATATTAATGAAGCAATTTAAATCTATATCTATATTGTGGCCTTTTGGGTGCAGGGTTTGGAGCTCGTGTATCCACCGAGGTTCAAGTTATGACACTACCCGCAGTTTATTGACCCCCCTCCAATGCGGTTGTACCACATCTACTCCAACAAATTGTAAGGACGACGGGTCTTTATTGTGTTTCCGTTTGAAATGATAGGACAAGGAGTGATCCTTATAACCCTTTTTAATGTTATTAATGTGTTCTCTCAGTCTGTCGCGTAAACGTCTAGTTGTACGTCC